GCAAGGAACATTACCTTTTAACATTATTATGCTTTTATCCAGATAAAATAGATATTTCAATGTCCATATTGCTACTGCAATTTGCAAGGGTTAAGGGGAACCGTAATAGCACTTTAACCTCCAGCTTGACACACATTCCAGATACATGAGTTCTGGATGTGCAGAAAGTAAGAGTAACCTGCTGGGTGGTTTCTACCAAGGAACAGACTCCTTGAAGTTTTTCTACCTCAGAGATCGCGCAGGGGAAGTGTAATATATAAACTCCTTACTAAACCTCTCAGGAGACCCTTGTCCCAGTTTACAGGGCAAATACAGCTTGGCATGAGATAACTTTCTTTAATGTGCATATAATCTCATTTTACATTATATTACGATAAACAAATACTCTTTGAAACAAGTCTATAAAAATCTTCATGAATGGATTCTGAAAATATTTAAGTGAGATACTTAATGCTAAAAGTATATTTAACATAATATTTGTATTATGCTCCCTTTGGTGGTCAGAGGGTCTCCTGAACATCTTCACCATAATACAAAAAACTGATCAATCATACAGGTGAAGGAGTATATATTGAGAAGCTCAACTCATTCCAGCATTCACTGGCCTTCTTCTGGCATTTGAGGTCACATACAACAGCAGCCATGAGGAGGGTAGTCTGAAAAAGGACACTGTTGGCTTGCTGGTTTGTTTGCTTTAAAGAATAAACTGAACTCTGCTTTAAAGATGAAGCTTCAACATTATTGTCACTGTCATACCAAATTTTAACTCTTGAATACATACCCTGTGTGGCTGGTATGCAGATGCAGAGAAACCTTCTGGTGTGGATGTCTGTAGGCTCTGCTGAAGGTGGTGGATGTTGCTCTGTAAGATTGTCAAAGCCTGTTTACCTGCTGTGCATATTGCTGCAGCTCAGCAGGCGTTTCAGCTCTGCCTTTATTCATATCAAGGTTTTATGCTTCCCATGTTTTTAAACATGCTTTTAAATTGTGCAGCTACCAAGCTGATATTTGTTGTGGCACTTATTAGCTATGGTAGCGTGCAATTCTTTGTTGTGTATGGATTTCTGTTTCTAACATTAGTTCTGGTCTCCTTTTAGAGTGCATAACACTCAAATCTGGCCCAGACTCTAGGTAACAAAAAATATTGGTTTTGTATTTTCTCTGCACTGCAAGGAAAGAAGATGACAACTGCTTGAGTACCTGTCCACTTAGAAAGAACTAGAGCTGGATACAGTGTTTTGTCTGTATTAAGTAATTTTCAATTTTTACTATTTCTGATTTATTAATAAAACTGCATTAACTCCCTCCTGTGTTTATTTTAATGTCCTGGCTACCTATAGTTACTAGAAACCCTATTCAAATCACATTTTAAAATGAGTTTTTCAAAATTCATTAAAACATAAGTTTCTTCTTCTCTGAAATTAAAAAATAAGTCATTTGAACCCTGTTCCAATATAGCTGGTTTCCTTCTCTTATTTGCTTTAGATAAATATATATTAACATGTTCAAAACCAGAAAAATTAAATGCAGATATTTGGGCAAGATGTATCTATGTCCATACAGGACTGAGAAAAGTGGGGATTATAATACTACACTTTCTTAATGTGGTATCAGTGAAAAACATCCATTCAAATACCATGGCTAGAGAAAGTCAGATGTAGTATTCAAGTAAAAATAATTCAGAGGAGAATTCTGTTCAGACTGTGAAAATGGTATTCCCCATAAATTCTTTACGCATTGTCACACCAGGATTGAGTTAAAGCCAAACGAGCATCTGATTCTTGCTTTGAATACCAGTTGATTGACTGCTGCTATAACCATTTAATGGGACTCATATTCAGAGGACAGCTGAAAGACTGACTATCTCATTTTAGCATTATGAGATGTCAGTAACAAGACAAGTTGAAGAAGAAAGATTTAAACAAATGTTTTGAAAACACATTGTCAATATCTACCAAATATACTACTAAACAGCTTTTATTTGTAATCAGTTACTTACCAAATTCCGTAATCAGATACATATTTCAAAATATTCTGAAATATATTCATGAAAAGGGAAGCCTCAGTTTCACCCATATGAAAAATTTTATACTATGTTATATACTCTTGTTGTTGCTCTTTCTCTAAGCATTTGGAAGCACATAACTAATATTTGAATGTATGAACATGTACAGAAGACATTAAATACACATTCATATACACAGATACAAATATAACTATGAGACATACATAAAAGAAGGTAAAAATATTATAATATATTTAGGTATGTAGATAGATAGATAGATAGATAGATAGATAGATAGATATGTGTAAATACATTTCACTTTAATCTTGACTGGTCTGGATTTTGCAATAGTGTTGTCACTCATTTAAACAGACATCCTACACTTTTTTCCTCTGTACTGCTTTTGATTTGCTTTGTAACAGTCTACCTAAGCTAAATAAAAGTGGCTCTAAGTGCAAACAAAAATATTAACAGTAATTAGCATTTGCAAGGTGCCTGACATGTTTAAAGTATTGTATAGGTATTTAATCATAAGTCCTCAAAACAATCCTGAAGTCCACTGAGCCCTTCCACCAGCAATGCTGCAGCCTATGGAAACAAGTTACCACAAGGCAGAAACCAAGTTGTCACCAAAGCCCTACACAGAGTCCTGGAACCAGCACTAACTTTTAATAGCAGTATTTATGTAAAGCTAGTGCAAACAACAGGAATTTAGAAGTAATACTGACTGTTCATGAACTCTCTTTGTCTCCAACATAGTGTTAGTTTTATAGTATCAAGAATTAAACAATTCAGATCTTGAAAAGTGGCTGAAAAACAGCAGATGAGGCGCCAGGTATAACCAGGTATAACCTGCCTATTAATCAGATATAGTTTTTATAATGATGAAAAAAACAACATATGTTTAGGAAAAACTGAGTATAATGCATTATTTACATGTATTTCTGTCTATTAAAAGCCTTTGAAAGTTGGATCTTTCCATCAAAATTAGTTCAACTAGAAGAGGTGCCTGGATCAGAAGTTTTCCTTTTATTTTATACTCATCAGACCTTTAAAGGTTTTGCAGAATTTGAGGATGGACACAATACCTTCATAAAGTCTTCATCTTGAGATTTCTTATTCCTTGTATCTTCATAATGAACAGAAGTTTTCATATTTTCAGAATTTCTTAGTCCTTAAGGATGTATCTTCATAACAAACAGAAGTCTTCATTTTTTTGAAATTCCTTATTACTTAAAGATGAAGACAGGGCTTTCCTTAAAAATTGTCCACACAAGAAAAGATCCCAGTGAAGATATTTCTATCCAGCTAGTTGGGATGGCAAGAGTCTTGGAAGATTTTCCTGATGTTGCATGTTTTGTTCTTTTTTTCTGAGGATATCATCATTACTTTGTCATGAATATTTTTATTACTGAGGCTAGTATACTTTGGAGTGGGAAACATTAGATCCAGTGAATAATTTTCTTGTTGGAATGATTCATGGTCACTTTTGTTTTTGTATTTCTGCTTAATACCAGAAATTTGGAAAATGTTACAAGGTATATGAGAACAAATGTATTACAGTCTTTCAGTAAGCATTTTATTATTGAGGCTCCTTCTAAAAGATTTTTCATATTTCTTTCCTGTTATTAGGGGATCCATACAAGAACAGGTATTTTCTTTTCCTTGATCCATAAAATAACAGGTATTTTCTTTTCCTTAAATAGGTCAAAGTTAAGACTTTGCTTTATTAAGATTTATTAAGACTGTCCATATTCTTGCTGAGATGTAGCTTTTGCTTATTGACAACAAGACAAATAGAGTTTTGCTCTATTTCTAAATTTGTTTCTAAAGAAAAAAGACAAAGTTGTCTACAAATGAACTTTTAGTATGAATTTCAGTATCCCATGTCTTCCACCACCACTTTTGACATGACTGCAGCAAAAAAAAAATCTCAAAATCATAAAATCCAGTGCAAAGAATAAAAAATATTAACTGATCTCCAAAAAACATTACCTGTTCCCTGCTACAAACCTGCCTATTAAGACTCACCTCTAATATGACATACATAAAGAATCAGCCTAATTAGCACAGGTGAAAAAAGTAATTAATATTAAAAAATTTGTCTTTTGCTGTATTACTACTTGACCATCTTCCCATGTCATCTGATTTCTTAAAGACCTGTAGGTGTAGGAACAGTATTTTTGCAGCTATTATCTACACATCACGCAATACATTCTTAGATTTAAGGAGGTGACTGAATTTAAGAAAAAATCCTCAACATTCTTTAGTTACTCCACTTGGAAGTGCTTTAATTCATGTTCTTAACATGAATAATAGCAGCCCGAAGATCCACTATCAGCTACTGGGAAGTAACCATCACAGAGAGGTTTATTATATAAGCCATTATCCTATAGTCTCTCAGTCATTAGACCTTCCACGTGTACCACCTGAAGTAGAATATCAGTCACAGGGATGTGAAGCAGGAGGATGCAACTGTGATTTCTACCATTGTAACGATCTAGGCAAGGTACAGTGTTTAAAGTCTTGATGGTATTCTGAAGAGTTACTATGAAATCTGCTGTACCACTGAAATTCTCTCTGTATATGAATATAGTTCTAGTAAGGTCACATCTCTGTCAAACCAGAGAGATTTCACTTAGCTTTAATCATCTATAATTACCGTGTCTAATCTAACTCAGCCACACAGACTGTCTTTATAGTCAACAGAGAGACGAGGAGCTCTGGAGAGTGATCCATCTCACTTATCTTAAACACTCATTTTAGGGTGAGAAATGGAACTAGATTCTGGGGACAGAGAGTTAAACAAACTTCAGCTGTCAGCAAGAAGCACTGCATAGTGTTCCTGGAGAGCCAGGATTGAAGGGCAGACTTCTGTCAGACGCCATGGATATTATTACAAAAATCACCTAGCATACACTCCAGAAAAAATGGCTTTTCAGGCATATAACTTAGAGACACAATTGATATAAGAGGAAAATGAAGATGCACTTACCAAAAACAATAGAGGACTCACAGTAGTAGTAACCATTTGGCTGCTTTTTTTTCAACATGGAGCAAAGATCTAGGCGGTGCAGGATTTCATCTCCAAAATAATGGCTTTTAAAATCTTCATACAGGCTTGAGTCAATTTTTTTCACCTTTAAACAGCAGCATAAAATTCAATCAGGCATTCTACTAGAAAAAATGAATTTTCATATTTAATTCCTATAGTTTTCATTTTAATCAGAGGTATAGTTAGGATGGAAAACCACTTCAAGATGCAAAAAGAATACTGAAACAATAATTGCCAAATCTTCTGTTTTAGTTAAGCACCTTCCACTGCAGAAATCAAACAAGGAAATAAAAGTGTCATTACACCTCCTTTCTACCCCTCCCTCTTCAGTCCTGTAGGAAATGAATCAACATACACAATGCTACAAATGCTTTAACTTCCAATGGTTTGCAACAGTCTTCACGTAATATGGAACTGGAAATTATTCTCGTTGTCATCACTGGGCATGCTCCCACAAGGAAGAATCTCAAATGTTTGTCAAGGTAGTTTCCTGGGTCTCTAAAATCACCAAACATGAAAATGTGGTTGTATTTACCGCAGTAAATCTAAAAAGTTACAGTGATTTATAATACCAGTATTGCAATGTAGTTTTGCATATATGAAGTGGAACGTCATAAATATTTTATCAGGCTGTTTTCAGAAAATTTCATTTCAGTAGTTATTTTAAGAGTTTAGGGCTCCTCATTCCATCATATTTTCAATAAAAATAGATTATCTCTGTAGAAAGTCAATATTTTCTCCTTCAATCTACCTCAGGATAATGCTTTTTGCTTTTTAAAAATCGTTACTGTATGCTAAAGGGATGTCAGGAGCGACCACTGCCTCCAGCAGCTCCAGCCCAGGGCTGCCTACGACCCAGCTGCTGGAGCCCAGCCCAGTGCCCAGGGGACAAGAGGGTCTTTGATGGATGCACCTGCTGCTTTCAGGTCCCAGAGACACATACACCTGCTCAGAGGACACAGACATGGCCAGCTACACGGGCTGCCCCAGACAAGGTACTGCCTTTTAACAGCACTCATACATGGCTCACATGAGACACAAGTGTGGAGAGTCCCCAGCAGAGACAGAAGGTCACTAGTGCAGGCACACACATGACTCTCTCCAGGTTCACAAGCACATGCACATCTCTGCATCCCCCAAGCACCGTCACAGCCCCTCTGTCTGCCTGGCACCATTGCCCAGATCCCAGACCCCCTTACCCACCCCACATGTCCCTTACTTGCCGGCTGGTCCAGCTTGAGTTTTGCTAGTGAACACTCACACCCTTCACACACATCCAGTTTGGGAAAGATACAGACACTTGCCCTCAGCAGTCTCAACAACCCCCTCAACAACCTAAACCCTCAGCTTTACATTCCCAACAGTTGCAAAGTCCTGGTTTGCCTGAAGTTTCTTGATAGCCCATCAATTAGTGTAACTGACAAGGTTTGTTTCTTGGTTTTCTCTTATATTTGACAGGCTTGTGTCTCTGTGTTTTGTTTATGGCTTCCCCCTTTCCCTTACCATCCCATTTGGCAGGGTCCTGGACCAGAGAGTCCTACTGAAATAAACATCCTCACACTCCACATGCCTTTATCAGTCTGTGTGGCTGACCAGCTTTCGGTCTTGCTGCTGCCTCTCTTATCCTGTGTTGGTCAGGTTTATGTCTCTGTAGGTGTTGTTTAGGGCTTCCTCCTTTTCTTATTATTCCCTTTTGCACTGAAAAGGTCCCTCACCAGACACCCTAAAGGGGACAGACGCTGTCTCCTTCCTCACATCCTTACACTATATCCATTCATCTGAGCATCACCCTCAAGCATTTCTTGTGGTGCTTCATTCACAATTACTCACATGCAAGATAGGCTCAGTGTTGGTATGTCCACTGAGTTTTTACTCAGGTACAAAATTATTGACTTTAGAAGCACTTTGCTTGAGTAAGTACCTGCACATTTGGTTCTCTACAGTCTAATTAAGAGAGTTTTGGTCCCCTCAAGTCTAATTTAATGAAGGGCAGAAATGTCTTTCCATGTCCTTAATCTCTGAAACGATGACATCTAGTGGTGGATGCTTTCCATTTCAGGTACACGACCTCCTTGGAACTCTACATTTATTCCAGCCTGTCATTATTTAAAATTTTATATTCTATAGCTAGATGAGTCCTTATGTACTAAGGTTATTTTGAAATGAAAACATAATTCTTTGATTTTTGGCTGACAGTTCTTTGAAATACATTTAGACATCAATAACTAATTAAAAAAAAAAAAAAAAGACCTTTTCAGCCAGGAGAACACTTGTCAAAATGTGAAGCCTCGAGTACATGTGGAAAGAAATGAAGAAAAGATCAAAATCACAACATCATGCTCCAATAAAAAAATAGCATTTACAAGAGGTTGGGATGTTGCTTGTCAAAAACAGATTGGTAAGGTGTGAATCAAAGGCTGAATGCTGAGGAACTGACTTATGCTTGTGATGCACTACTGAAAGATATTGGGAAAAGCAGCCATGGGAAAACTGATATTTTTAGTAACTTGGAGCAATTTCTGGAGTGCTGTTTGTAATGAGATGTTAAAGGATGAAACACTGCTGGTACATGGGAAGGTCACACTTCATTTCTTAATTGACAAGGTCTGGAGCAGGAAGGCTCAAGTGGTGACAAGCCTTAACACGGCTGCAAAGCAAGGTGCTCCAGTGGTTGCTTCGCTTCCCAGGTACCAGACCCCACAGCCAAAGGGTCCAAAACTCCCAGCAATCCCACCACACGTCCCGCTTTCCAAAGGCGAGGGCTGCCTACAAAGATTAATTTACAGTTGCTCAAAGTAGCTCCTTAAGTGAAGCCGCAGTGGGTGAAAGAAGCGAGCAGTGGGAGCCTGTCAGCAGGCAGGGACGGCCGTGGGTCCCGCTGGAGCTCCGTCAGGCACTGCAGAGGCAGCTGATGGAGATGCTACCAGGGAGTGGACGTTTGGCATCCCTTGCCAGACAGCGGGCTGGGCTGCTCAGGGGGCTTCTTCACACCGCCTCCTCGGCGTGGGGCTCCGAGGAAGGCGGGGAGGGAGGTAACGAGCCGCCCCCGGGGACGGGGCAAGGGGCTGGCGGGAGGAGCTTGAGGCCCGAGGCCCGGGGTCTCCCATTCAGCCGGGAGGCCGCAAGGAAGGTTGAAGGTCCATTCACCGCATGACGGCTGGGACTTCATGCCGGGAGAG